TCCCTTGGTCGACCATTCGGTGGACCAACTCATGCAAATGGTTCAAAAATTGGCCTGCGAACTGGTTCAAATGGTTCAAATTACTGGTTCAAACGGTTTAAAAAAAATTTGAACCAACGGTTAGGTAGGTTCAAACAGTTCAAAAAAGTAAAAAAAAAAAATAAAAATTTGCCTTACCGGTCGACCAACCGGTTGACCCACGGGACGATTCTTCTTTTTGATGCACCGTTGGAACAATTGATATCATATTGAGAAAATGAGCCATTTTTTACTCAAATTTGGTGAAAAAAATACTGAACCGTTGGAGATGCTCTTAGAGCATCCACACCAATCTCTTCAAATTCTTATTCAAATTAGAGTTTAAAAAACTATTTTGCTATTTTAGCTAGTAACTTTTTTAGTACCCACTGCATCAAATTCTGTATTCTAACTCAATCTTATTAAAATATTATTTTTTATTGCATTTGTTATTTTTTTTTATTAAATTGATGAGATACCGGCCAAACAATTCCTAAAAAATGCCAAAAAAAAATAAAAATAAACTACTGTGTTTGGTTTGAATTTTTTGGATTAAGTTTTTTGAAAACTGAGTTTTTTGGTTTTCGTATTTTTTTTGTTTTTAGTGAATATTTTTAAAATTTTAAATATTTTTTTTACTTTTTAGAAGCACCTTACTTAGGTGTATCTAAAAAGTAAAAAATTTGTAAAAAAATATTTTTAAAAATTAATAAATATATAAGAATATAAAAAATATACTGAATTCTCGTATTTTTTTTTATATTTTTGGTATTTGGTGAATTTTTAAAAGGTTTTTTTACAATTTTTTTTACTTTTTAGGTATATTTATGTTAAGTATGTCTAAAATTTTTTAAAATATTAAAAAATTTAGTAAAAATAAAAAATACGGAAAACAAAAAAATAAAATTTTCTAAAAAATGTTTTTGAAAAACCATAACCAAGCAAAGTGCCGTTGACTGGCTGGACGTCCAGTCGAACTTCTGGAAACACCTAATCCGCTTGTTGTAGTGATGAACAGTACCTCGCTTGTTGTAGTAAGATACTGTAACACTCATAAATTTTGACGCACTCGCAACAAGATTGATGAGCCTGATTTTTTGAAATTTATATCGTTTGTTTAGCTAGAGAATGACTTTACCGAGTTTGAAATTTTGACACACTCGCAACAAGATTGATGAGCCTGATTTTTTGAAATTTATATCGTTTATTTAGCTAGAGAATGACTTTACCGAGTTTGATGAGGACACTCTAAATAGTAGACGTTGGTGGTCTTTGAATAATATTGAACACCATTCACCATTACACTTTCTATTGTTTACCGTCAAAAAAATCACATACTGGTTTTGGATCTTATTATTTTAATTAATAAAAATAAGGGTTAATTATATTAATAATTTTTATAATTTGGGACTTGTGTCACGTTATTTCCTGACTTTTCAATTGTAACACATTTGATCATGAATTTTGAATCTTGTTCCAAATAAGGACAATTGAAAATATTATTAGATTTTTCAAGGGTAAAATCGTCAATTTGATAAAATATAAACTAATTTGACAAAAATAAATATCAAAAAAATATTTTTAATTTTTTAAAAATATTTTTATTCACCAATGATAAAATTATGTAAAATTAATAAAAATTACATGATTAATTTTTTAAAATTAATTTTACATGATCATTATCTAAACACATAATAAAAATTAATTTGGTAAAAAAAAAATGTCTAAAAGATTTATCAATTTTACATAATTTTATTTTTAGTAGGTAGAAATAATTTTTAAAAATTCAAAAATATTTGTTTGACATTTGTTTTTATCAAATTAGTTTATATTTTATCAAATTGACAATTTTACCCTTGAAAAATCAAATTATATATTCAATTGTCCTTATTTGGAGCAAGATTCAAAATTCAGGATCAAATGTGTCACAATTAAAAAGTTAGGGACCAAAGTGACACAAACCCAAACTATAGGGACTATTTGTTTAATTTATCCTAAAAATAAATTGAAATATCACATATAATCGTCTCAAAATCAATTCATAATTTTCTATCAACGCTCTTCTAATACCGCTATATTCATCAAATTTATTTAACTCAAATTCATCCGACGGATTGAGACTAAACAAATTCGGTAAATAAATGATTAATCTTTTCCAGCAACGCCCTTCACTCCATCTTAAAAAAAAACAATTAAAAAAAAAAAAACTTTACACTCCACTGTCCTGTCCCATAACGCTATTGTGTAATTTATTCATTTGTTTCTTAGAATAAAGTGAGAGAGGTACGTATGCACTCTGTCGTTTCCAATGTCTGTAGTATTTGCACAGCAGCACAACCCTCGTATCATATATTAAGGAAACAGCCACTACTAGCTCCCCTCTCACTCACACACTCACTCAGAGAGAGACCATGTTTGTATATGAACTTAAATTACTTAATAAAATAATATATAAATCTATTTTTTAAGACTAATTTTATAGATCTAATAATATCTGAATAATATAATTAATTAAGAAAATATAAGAGAGAGTGTTTCTTTTAATATTTTAATTAATTATTAAATTTGAAAATTGAATTTAATTTTTAATCTTGAATGATAATATTCTATTTTTTATTGTGTTGCTTACAATAAAGGGGTTGCCTGTGCATGCAGAGAAGGCTGATGAATTGAAACTTTGTATTGCTTGTTTCTTTGTCAAAAGGGCTTGCCTGTGCATGCAGAGAAGACTGATGAAATGAAACTTTGTATTGCTTGCTTCTTTGTCAAAAGATATGCATGCTGGTTTTGCCCATTCTCAACTCAACTACATTAAACACATTTTATATGAAAACAGATTATCAACTCATCTTTCTCTTTCATGGCTCGATCTGCGAGGTATACAAATAAAGATAGTAGAGTTTGGTGGAGGTGGATGAGATGAGAGGCGATGTGTTCTATAACCCAACTTTTACTATAAAACAGAACAAAGGTCAAATAATGCTCGACTGTTATGTTATCATATTGATATACATGGTATTTGGTTGAGAGATTTAAAAAGAGATTTAAAAAGAAAAAAAAAAAATATATGTAAAACTAGGTAAAATAATTTTATTCATATTTTACTTATATTTTCTCTTTCTATTTTCAAATTCCTCATAAAATTTTCCAACCAAATATATCGTTAACGTGTGAATTCTCTTCAACTCACTTAATTTGTGGATTCGGCTTGCACAGTTCTTAACTGGTTTTATTTAATGATTTGAATAGTTGATTTTATGTTTATTGTGTAAATTGGAAAGACTAAATTGTAAGTTTTTTTTGTACTGGTTGTTCATTGAAATAAAATAAAAAAAAACTGATTAATTCAATAATTGTAATCATATGTTTTATCACTTTTTAAATAGACTCCATGTAAGTTAATATATTTGGTCTAATGATTATGTAACACTCGTATTAATATGAGATTTCGAGTTTAATTTTTATGAAGAAGAGTTTGATACATTTTCTAATGGTGTTTATTTGTCTCCTATTATAAAAGCACGAAGTGTGATTTTAAAATAAAGAGAGTTACTTTTGTTGAAAAAATGGTTTGGAAATCATTAATAGATGAATGAAAAATTGCCTCTAAAGTACACTATTTGAGCATGATTTTAAAACAAAATTTATTAAAGCCTTATTTGGGATAAGCTAAAAAAATTCAAAAGTTAAAAAGTTACTAAAAAAATTAAAAAGTTTATACTATTCAATAGTAGCTTGTGGGGGAAGTCACTAGGGCAAAATTATAATTTTGTCCTTTGAATTCAACTACCCAAAAAGTCAAAAAGTCAAAAGGGTAAAATTATCATTTTGATTTTACTACAATATTTTAGTACATATCTTTTCTTAAAAAGTCAAAAAATTATCCCAAACATATATTTTTTTCTCTATTTTTTTTAACTAAAAAGTCAAAAAGTACACTTATATAGGGCATCTCAAACAACTACTAAATTTAAAATTAAATTTATTTGTTATTCATTTGGGTCAAAATTGAACCAGATTCGATTCAAAATACGAATATGTTTGAAAGAACAGTGATATCGGTTTTTTACACTTATTCCATAGAAGAGTTGTGTCTCTTCATAGAAAAAAGATGTATCTTTTCATTGAAAAGTCATTATGACCTTTCAAAGACCCACCAATTCACCTATATAAATAGACCTTCGTTGCATTCATTAAACATGAAATTCATCTTGTGTTTTATTTTTTCTGTTCTCTATCCTTTTAGTGAGAATTTTGCATAGTAAGGTTTACTAGACTTGCCGTGATAGTGCTGCTTAATGTCCAATAAAAACTCGTGAGTACCGTAGTGAGGACAAATTTGTCTTAAGAAAATTATGTCCAACACAAGGCTCGATCAAATTGTTTTCGTTTCTAGATTTTTAGAATCTGTTTGTAAGTTTTCTATTTCTCTGTAAGTATTTTTGGTTCTCGGCATATGTTTGGTTTGGTTTAACCCAAACAATTTACATTTTATTTCACTTATATTTTTTTTTATATAATTTGATAATATATTTGGTACAATTATTGCAGTTTACAACTATGCACATAAGAATTATTCCAAGAATCTTAGAACAAATTCGTATTAATTTTGTTTTATCTATAATTATTTTTCTATCTTTTTTCATGTCCTAATTAAATACAGATTTTATATTTTGTATTTTGATTTATTTTTGTGTACTGTTATTTTGCTATGTATATGATTAATTTACTATGTACGATTGTATTGCTTTTACCCGAATCTGTGTTTGAGTTAGATTCTATTTCCTGTTTCAAAGTTATTACAAATTCACAAATTCATTTTTTTAGTTGTAACTGTATTTTGAAACAGATTTTCTGTTATGTTTTGGTTTATTTATTACTTGAACATAAAAGAGATTGGTTATATAACCAGTGTAAATAAGATTTATATTTTTGAATTGGAATGATTTTTTTTTTTTTTGATCGTGAAAATCAGCACCACATTATATAGAAGTGGGAAATAAACACCTAATAAGACCCATAGGTGGTTGGGTAACCCAATTCAGGGGTAAGGAATTTCTAAAAAACGCCGAAGCTACCCAGTGGGCTGCCCTATTGGCCTGTCGAGGGCACCATCTAAAAACAAGTGACCTGTGCGAGGCCAATGACCGAACATCACAAATTAAGGCTAGAAGCTCCCAGGGAGGGACCCCTTCAGACACACACAACTGAATAACTGATTTACAATCACTTTCAATTTCCGCGGTAGTGAGATTAAGAGCATCTGCCATGAGACAAGCATGCCGAATTGCTAGTAATTCACACTGGACAACAAACCGCAATCGAGTCGTCCTCACCATACCATCCACCAGTTGGCCTGTATGGTCGCGAAGAAGGACAACAACTGTGCCCATACCGTGCTTCAAATCCACAGCAGCATCACAATTAAATTTCCATAAGCCGCGAGGAGGAGGAAACCAGGAAGAGCAGCCGCTATTCATCCCCGATGCTCCAATCTGCGGAGTAAGGGTCGCTAGACATGAGGCCAAAAATTCCGCTTCATCTCGCTTTGCTTTCGCGATCACCCCTGAGGGGTCAACCTGGTGGTGGTTAAACAGATGATCATTTCTTCCTTTCCAAATTGTCCAAGCAACCCACACCATAGAGCATAACACCGATTTTCCCCATGCAGAAGTACCCAGAGTCTCAAAACATTTTCCAAACCGTTCTCGAGCCGAAAACCTGTCCCGATTGTTGCATCTAAGGCCAAGATCACACCCAAACCAAACTCGTCTGGACCATTCACAGTCAAACAAAAGGTGCTCAATAGATTCCGAAGCTGAGAAACACACAGGGTAGCAAGCCGAAACTGCACACCGGCGAGAAGAGAGGTTCTAATAAGTAGCCAAAGCATCATGATAAATTTTCCAGAGGAAATGCTTAAGTTTTGGAGGTAAATTCAGGTTCCAAAAGAGCAGCCACTCTTTCTCAGACCACACAAAGGAAGAAGAAGGAATAGTGGAGACCAAGTGCGCTTGTTTCACGGCTTCACGGTACCCCGACTTAATCGTATAACAGCCCTTTGAATCATGATGCCAAAGAAGGGTATCATCTTTATCCGTAACAGAGACTGGAATAGAGAGAATATCATCACAATCAACTCCAGATACTAGGCTTCTAAGCTGACTTTCATTCCACAACTTGCGGGAAGAATCAATAACCTCATGCACCTTTTGCACCAAAACCCCTCTAGGTCTTTCGGACTGAACGCGAAAGCTCGGATTAGAGGGAATCCACTGATCATCCCAGAAATTGACGGACTTACCATTCAAAATTTGCCACCGCAGCCCTCTGTTGAGAATATTCCGCCCCTGAAGCAAACTAAGCCAAGCCCAAGAAGGGCGTACCCCACGCGTAGCATGACAGAAGTCGGAATTGGGATAGTAAATTCCTTTAATAATTTTTGCACACAAGGAATTCGGGTACTGAGTTAATCTCCAGCCTTGACGAGGAGGAGAGCGCGGTTGAAGGCCCGAAAATCCCGAAAACCCAAGCCTCCATTACGTTTTGACAAACAGAGTTTATTCCAGCTAGCCCAATGAATATCGCGCCCTTCTGGATCACCTTTCCACTAAAAATTCCGAATATAGGAACTCAACTTATCAGACAATTTATTAGGAAACCGGAAGCATGCCATGGCATAAGTGGGCAGTGCTTGGGCGACCGATTTAATTAGGACTGCCCGGCCTGCTTGGGAAAGTAACTTTGCTTTCCACCCTTGCAATTTGGACAAAACTTTCTCACACAAGAAATTGTAAGCTTCAGCTTTTGAACGTCCCCAGCACGACGGTAGGCCCAAGTATTTAGCATTGGCTTGCATCTGCAGAATGCCAAGGAAACCACAAACCTCCAGCCAGCGCAAGCGTGAGACATTGCCTGAGAACTGCACACCCGACTTATCAAAATTAATGGACTGCCTTGTTGCTTGGCCATAGATTTGTAACAATTTACCTATCTCCAAACACTCCGCTTGGTTGGCCTTGACAAAAATCACCGCATCATCCGCGAAGAACAAATGTGACAAAGTAGGACAACCCCTTCGAATTTTCAAACCAAATAGGCGCCCATCATGAACACTGTGATCAATCAATTTCGAAAAAACATCCATAACAAGGATAAACAGATATGGGGAGAGAGGGTCCCCTTGGCGAAGTCCCCATATTGGCTTAAAGCTAGTTCGCAGAAAATGAAACCGTGGTTACACATTCCATCACCCATTGAATCCATTAAGAATGAAAGCCCATCTTACGCAACAAGGCCCGAAGAAATCTCCAATCCACTCGGTCATAAACTTTGTGGAAATCAACCTTAATCGCCACATCTTCCACCTTCCCTTTACGAATTTTCAGAGCATGGAAAGCCTCATGGGCTACGATAATGTTGTCCTAAATGAGCCTGCCTACCACAAAAGCCGACTGATTTGGCGAGACCACTTCACTTAGAACCCCCTTCAGCCGATTGGCAAGAATCTTTGTGATCACCTTTATATTAAAATTGCAAAGGCTGATTGGCCTAAACTGTGAGAGTGTTTCCGGTGCTGGAACTTTGGGGATGAGAACCAAATTCGTATGATTCATCTCTTTCAACAAAAAAACCCCCCTAAAAGAAACTTTTCACCGCCGCGCATAGAGATGGCCCTACAATATCCCAATGTTGATGATAAAAGTACCCTGGGAAGCCATCCGGTCCAGGAGCTTTCAGTGAACCATGTTGAAAGGCCGCTAATTTGATTTCCTCATCCAATACATCTTGAATCAGCAAAGCATTCATTTATAGAGAGATAACATTATGAACCACATCAAGAGCAATATCTATTTCCCCTCCCACACTACCAGAAAACAGATTCGAAAAGTAAGTGAACAAGTGAGAATTAATATCCGACACCAACTGCAAAAGAGTGCCATCTTCACATTTCAGTTGCAAAATCTGGTTTCGTTGGCGTTGTTGCTTTAGTGTAGCATGGAAGAAAGCGGAATTTCAATCGCCAAAATTGAGCCAGCGCACCTGAGATCGCTGATGTAAATACATTTCCTCCCACTGCAAGACCATTTCCAGCTCATGGGCCAACTATTTGTAGCGTACCTCAGTAGCCGAAGAGTAAGGTTGACTCTAAACCTGAGCAATTTTCCCCCGAAGCAAGTCAATACGTCTTTTTCCATTACTGAGTTCCTTTGAACTCCACTCCCATAATCGCCGTTGACTACGTTTTAATCTTTGAACAAGTCGAAACATATGAGACCCCACTTGTTCCCTTTCCTACTCTGAATGAATAATTGTCGCATAGCCTGGGCTTGTGGTCCAAAGCGATTCAAATTTAAATTATCTAGGTACCCGGGCAAGAGGAACATAACAATTAATGACCAAGGGTCCGAACCAAAACAAATTTCATGAAATTGTACATGTGGAAATAGATCCTGCCAATCAACTGTGGCTAAAGCCCTGTCCAATCTTTCCCGAACATTACCATCACCCTCCTGATTGTTAGACCAAGTAAAAGCATTCCCCTGAAAGCCCAAATTCGTCAGGTTGCAATCTGATATCAGTTCTTGAAATCCACTAAGCTGAGAAGCATGACACTCCCGCCCTCCTTGCTTTTCAAAAATGGAACCCACTTGGTTAAAATCACCAACACAGAGCCATGGGTAATGCATTTCCGTAGCCACTCCCCTCAAAAAATGCCAAAAAGCCCTCATTTCCCGCTTACAAGGAGGGGCATAAATAAACGAGGCAGCCTAGCTCCTACTTGCAGTTGGCGAAATAATACACCTTAAAATATTCTGAGACTTAAAACAGACATCCAAAACAACCCCATCCATCCACCAGAGGGCAAGTCCACCGGAAGTACCAATAGGATCCACATAACAACTATTCGGAAAGGTGAGGCTTCGTCTGATGCGTTCCAACTTAGCTCTCTTATTCTTTGTCTCCATTAAAAAGATCACCGAAGGCCGATGGGTTGTACACAACCCTCATAATACCTGGACTGTCAGGGGACGACCCAGCCCCTGATAGTTCCAGCTGATGATTAGAATGACGTCTATGGCTGTTCGAGGTCAGCCACCACCACCCTTTCCAAGTTAGCAGAATTATCCACCCCTCCTACCTCCGCGTTTTGAAGCCTGCCAAACTGTGTGCACAAACCAACATCACCCAAAAAAATAACACTTACGGGAACGGTACCCCCTGGGTTCAGAGTGGCGTCGGTAGGCAAAGTTTGAACGTGTATTTCCACAAGGGAATTCTGTCTCAGGCGACGAACTCTTCGGGTCAGAACCCGTGTTTTTGGTTTTAGAGAAAAAATACGAAGTTCTTGTGAGTCCACAGCAGCATCGTCCATCTCCAATACAGCCCCTTTAAATTTTTTCTTTGCCACTAGATCACATATATCCTCATCACCGAAAGGTCTCTTCAAAGAGAGGGTATTGAAAACTGTGGAAATGCACAAATCTATACTGGGTTTACTAGGCCTAGTTCTTTCAGGACTAGGGCTGGGGCTGAGTTCTTGCGCACTAAAAGAAGGATGATCCTTGGAACCCGTGGGCTGGGATATAAGAGGAAGAAATTCAGAGGGCTCAGTAACAAAATAAGGGGCTGAAAGTGGCAGATTGGACTGCTCTAAAATTGGGTTTAAAGAAATATGGGCCTCGCCCTCTATAATAGTAGGCCCAAGGTTTGAATTACAAAGAGGGGCCAGTCCACTCACTTATCCAGAATCATGCAAGGATGGGCCCCGTCCAGAAGAATGTTCTTGAGAGACAACAGGCGAGCATGGACGTGGAGCCTCTGACTGAAAAGGCTCATTTGCCCCCAATTCCACTACTCGAGATCGCACAAAATGTATCCCCACGTTCGCAGCCAGCTGGTGAGGGGTGGGCGTTGCAGTCCCACTCGCCTCGTCCCTAACTGCCCCTTGTCGACGCGCCGCCATACGGCTGATCGGAATGTGCAAATGTGGTTCCGGCTTATCCCTTCCAGTACGCAGATCCTCCGTATTTCTCCGCATCGAGCTTTGAAGCAAATTCAAACTTTTAGCAGGCCCTGTTCTTTGATTTGGGCCATAGCCAGAATGGAGACCCTCCTCCCTTGACACAAATTTACAGGCCAGCTTATCATGCCCATTACGCCCGCAGTCATAACAAAACTCAGATAATCTCTCATACTTGTAGTAGATCTTGAGTCCATCACCGACTGGCCCCGAGCTATCGCGCCGATACAAAATGAACTGTAGTAGAGGTTTAGAAACATCTACCTCGACGCGTAGTCTCAAAAAGCTGCGGTGAATGAGCAGTCCATCCGAGGGAGCCTCAATCTCCACTAACCGGCCAATCCTACTACCGATGACCTCCCTATGAGCGTGAGTCATTTTGTCTAAAGGGAGGTCGTGAACCTGAACCCAGAAAGGGCTCCAACGGAAATCCAACTCATCAATGGCCTTCCCGAGTGGAAGCGGCTGAAGAACCAACAAACTTCTCATCACAGACCAAGGGGCCTCCTGGAGGACCCTCAATCGATCCTCCAAATCGTCAAACTGGAAGAGAAAGACGTTCTCCTTCCAAGGTGTAATGACAACACCTTCCCGTGTCTTCCAAGCAGCAAGAAGGATATTAGTTACAGCTGGTTTGTTCAAGATTTTGAGGGCGAGGATCTTCCCCACCAAACACATAACACTGATGTCGAGACAACTCCTCACACTCATCCGTGGACTCCGGCACTCGAGAGCCTCCATAGCGCCTACCAAATCACCTCTAAAACGGATATATTGCCGGTTTTATTGAGGGGGAGGGGGGGCACCGCAAAACACCACAAGCCAAGATAATGAGTAACTGTGAGAGGACCACCAAGGGAAAAACCCTACGAACTACCATTAGGCAAGAGAAAAGCTCTCATTTTAGAGAGAGAGGATTTTTTTAGCTTTTTTTAGTTGACTCAGATTCAAAGATGATTATAATGAAGCACTGGGTTTGAATACAAGTATGTACTAGTAACGATACGCGGTATGCTTAATACATAAAATTTTTAAAAAATACGACAGGGTATGGCTCGTACGCTTGTAAACTAAAAATATTTATTTTTAGTTTAGAATAATGTAATATTAATTAAACAGTTTAATTTTTTAATGTCCAAACTTACAATTAACATTTACATGCCAAAAGTAAATGTACATTACAATGTTCCACTTTGCGACTAAAATTTAGTTTTCCAAAAGTCAATTTTTTACCGCCGAAACTTTTTAGCAACTAAATTTTTGGTCCGCTAAATTATGTCATTGAAGCAGTTGTTTGGGAAAGGTTTTGGCGACTAAAGAATTTAGCGCCGAAAGTCATCCAATTGTTGGACTATTTCTTTAGTGGCAAAACCTTTCAAAAAAAATTAATATCGCATTTTTCACGATAAAAATTTTTGTCGCCAAAACTAAGATTATTTACGGTGACTAAAGTCTAGTCGCCTAAAGTCGCTTTTTTTTTTCATTTTATTTTGTTTTTAGCTACTAATTATTTAGTCGCTAAAAATATTAACTTCCTTTCTGGTTGCAATTGTTTAGTCTCTGCCAAAACATGATTTTATTTATTTATAATAATGTTTTGTCCACCAATCTGTATGTATTTCGTGCCAACCTGTACCATGTATATTAAATAAAAACAATACATATATTAATCAATCATTTCCATAATTTTCATCATTTCACTTCCACATCCAATAAAGGACTACTTTAATGTCAAATTTCATACAAACTAAATATACTTCCAACCTAAAATAAATTCCATACAAACATGTCCAAAAATATATATATATTAGCAAACCAGTTGCAATCCAGCTACAGGCAGCAGCAACAACTAGCACAAACTCCACAGGATCTTACAGTTCTATGCATGGCAGGACAGCAGCATAAGATGCAGCAGTTCCCCAAAACAAAATTTATTTTCCCCACCCAGGCCCAAACATTCTACATTTCAGGGCATTTATTATCTTTGAACAACACCAAACTCTATTAGCACAGACATCTATTATCTTTAAAACAACACCAAAAACTCTCTATGACAATAATAAATAAAGAAATAACCTCATATATCAGAGATGCATTTTGCTCACTCGCAGTATTTTCAACTCAAAACCACAGTCTAATCTGTGAAACATGAAACATGAATGTGAGGCAAGTAATGGAATGAAAATAAACAAATGTAATACATACAAGCATGGTAAGGCAGGTAAACGGCACATTTGGCATGCTTTTGAGCACTCAGGAACACTTGGAACAAAAAGAACCATTTCAGCGATCTTGAGATTAGTAGGAGCCACAAGATTGGGG